CCCCCCCGAGCACTGTTCTTTGTCCTTCCCCTTCCCTGTAAACCAGCCCATGGGAGCAGGGCAAACCACACAGGGAGCGCTGGCAGCAGCGCAGCTGGGAGGAACAAAGGTGGTTTTGATCCCTCCTGCCCGTGCGAGGCACCCGGGATGGGCAAGGAGCAAACAGGAGCGATGGGAGCTCAAAGGGGCAGCTCAGCTCTGTGCCAGCAGTGCCACAGGGCTGCAGTGGCGATGGGGACATCAATGGGGAGGCAGTGGGGACGTGCTGTGAGGTGGCTCCCTAAGGAGCAGAAGGGGCCTCAGTGTGGTGGATAGAAACATGGAATGGCTTGGGTTGGAAGGGACGTTAAGCTCATGCAGTCCCAACCACCTGCCATGGGCAGGGACACCTCACACTAAACCATGGATGGTACCCAAGCTCTGTCTAACCTGGCCTTGAACACCACCAGGGATGGAGCATTCACAGCTTCCCTGGGCAGCCCATTCCATTTCCTCACCACCCTCACAGTAAAGAACTTCCTCCTTATATCCAACCTGAACTTCCCCTGTTTCAGTCTGAACCCATCACCTCAGCTTGTGCGAATTCCAGGTCTCATGAAAGGTGGTGTGGGCAGATTGATGCTGGGAAGAACCCCATGGTGCCTCCACCAGCCTCCCCAGGACATGCTGCTTGCTGACACCTGCATTGCCTGCAAACACAGCTCCCATGTTTTATGTCCCCTCTCCCTTCCCTTGCTCAGTGGCTAGAAAGGATGACAAACCATGGTTAAATATCACCCTAAACCCAGGCACAGCGGGGTCCTCCACTGCCACCCCACACAAGGGATGGAGGAGCTTGCGGCAGCCCTATGGTCCTCAGGGTGTTCAGACGTGAGCAGCTGAGTGGATGCTCAGGAGATGCTGGTAGCTGCAGCACCAAAGGGAAGGTCACCAGCAAGGTGATGCAGATGACTTGAGCTCCATAACATGAATGCTCAGGGCACAACATGCTGGCAAAGGAACGAACGCTGTTTTCCTGCTTGTATCCCAACATCCTGACAAAGACGCAGATTCCTAAGCAGGCCAGCTCACCCATCCTCTGCTTAGGTGTAACCTCCCCACAGACCACCTTGCTTTCCCAGTTGTCATTCCCAAGGGGTGGCTGATTTAACTGTAACATCACCAGCATCCTCTGCAACCCTCACTGTGCTGCCTGCAGCACCAGCCATCACCATCAGCCTTCCCAACCAGCAGCACTTGGTACCCAGCATCAAGCAAGAAGGGACAAGGGAGGATGAAAGACCCGTTGCATTTCCAGACAGGAAATCACTCCATTCCCCAGGGAATCCCGTCCCTAATTGTTTTGCATTAAGAGCTTCCAAATTCATGAGCGTGATAACCAGAAAGAGGAGAAAAGCAATTAAATTAGCTCCAGGAGCCATGAAAAGCAGCCTTGCAATGCAGCAATGGGATGGGATGCGACGCCAGTTAGACAGTGCCACTCACACCAGTGTCTATGCAAACCAAACTCATTTCACATGCACCCACCGAAGCTGCTTCCCCAGCAGAGCCCATCACGCTCTTTTGGAGCGCTTTGTGCCATATAATTTCCTTTCCAGTTACAACAGCCAGCAGTGACTCCCGGCTCTCTGTTTGTGTAAAGCTCTATCACATGCCGGATAACAGCCCAACAAGGAATTTATAAATACAGGCAGTAATTGTCACTCCAGCCATCTGTTAACATGGAGAGCCAGGCAGCGGCGCGGCGGAGGTGGAAACACAGGGAAAAGCATCGCAGTGGTGCCATGGATGACAGGGAGCCAGGGAGATGCCGTGATCTGGGATCTGCGCTGGGATCACTGGCCATTGGTCCTGTGGCTCATCCTGCTCACCATCCAGAAAACCTACATGGTCCCCAAACGACATCAGATTTGCCAGCTTTCCCCATCCCACACTTTGTCTTGCCATGTGGGATGCAGACCCAGCAGACTCCATCCTGGCTTTGGGATACAGCCATGCCGCAGGGGGATGCCCACCCTCTGGGAGCCCCAGCCTGCTCCCCATGGTGCTCCATGCACCAGTTTGACTTTTACCTTCACCCCACGGGTGCTGGGTGATGGGGATGCTCCTTCCAACAGGCAGGAAGCAGCTGGTAGAAGGTGATGCTCTGTGTGCCCCAGTGATCTTGATATGGTGCGGACACAGCCTGATGCTACAGGGGTAGCCCTGCAAGCATTTACTGGTGCTTAATGCTTATTTAAAGCTACAACTACCAACATAAAGAGAGCCAGTGACGCATCGGGTGCTTTTCCCCCTCCCTGGGTGCCGCCCCACTGCAGACGTGCCCAAGAGCCGCAATGGGAGCTCCGGAAGGGACCGCGTGCCAAAATGCAGCCCAGGGCAGGACTGGAAAGACCTGTTGCTGCTACCGGAGCCACGAGGGCACGGGGCTGGGAGGGGAGGTGTGGCAGAGGCCAACGAAGCCTGTGCTACCGCCACCAGCACTTGGGAAAGGGCTGGAGCAATGGAAGCAAGCAGGGGTGAATGGATGCATCCCATAGCCCAGAGTGTGAGCCCAAACACATGCGGACCCTTGGGAGGCTGTGCCTGCGAATGGAATACAGTGATTTAATTCTGCCCTGGGCCTGCAGGGCCCTGACCCATGCCCAGTGCTCAAGGTCTAACCCAAATCTGATATCCAGAGTCAGTGGGATGACCTGATGCAGCCGCTCTGGTGCCATGGTCCCCATCTCCCATTGCTTCAAATGCAGCACAAAGCACTGACAAACCAACCAGGGAAAAAAGGGGAAAAAAAAAAACAACCCAGAAAATAGAGGAAAAGAAAACCCCAGAAAACAGCAAAAAAGCCCCAGAAAACAGGAAAAAAAAAGCAGCAGGTTTATTTCTCCCTGACATCTAATAATGTTTATCGCCCTCCGAGCAGCAGTTTCCCACTCCAAGAGCCAGCAGCAGGGCTGATCCTCCTCCAGGCTGGAAGCAGTTTAAAGCCTGGCATCTCCCCATCTCCCGCCCTCCACCACCAGTGAGAAGACCAAAAAGGTTCAAAAGGCACAAAACAGAAGGAAACGCCATGGGAAGCAACAGCCCTGGATTCTGGGGCCGGGCTGGCTCCTATAGAGTTCACTGCAAACCCTGCATCCCTGCTGCTCCCAGCTTCGTCCCGCAGGATTCCTTGGGCTCTGTGGTTGTTTTCCAGCTCTGAGCTCATACAAAAGGTGCTGGGGCCACAGCAGAGCATCCAACCCACTGGATGAGGTAGTTACTAGGCGAGGGGGAGAGCTGCTGACAACTTGCAGGAGGCAAAAGGAGAAGTTAATGGTGCTGCAATTCCCACTGCCTCTGTCATTAGGAAAAGAAAATGCATTCGAGCATCCTCACTCGAATGCGCAATGTAATTTGTTTCAAGTTTAATATCATTTTCTTTCCTGGAGATGGGCTGAAGCTGGGGAAAGTCTTTGTTTTTATCAGCCGTGCTTCAGGGCAGATGCAAGGAAAAGGAAAGGATTTGCAGAGTTTTATAAAGGGGGAAAACTCATTTAAACCTGTGCAGGGTGGCTGCTGCAAGAGGCAACCGGCCACTGAACTACTACAGACACTATCACCCTGAGCAGTGTGCTCATAAACCAGCTCAAATTAGCTCAGTATTTAACACAGGTTGTTAATGGAGGGTGCGGGTTTTCTCCTGCCCACCAAACTAAAGCTGCCTGTTGCCACCATGCTCCTGCACGAGGCAGTGGCATCGCCTCACCTGAAAGCACCGGTTTTGGGGCAGAACAGGAGGAAAGGGGGAATCCCGGTTTATCTGCGGTTTAATCCTCTCCTGGAGACCTGGGCTTTGCACAGAGAGGTTGGGATTTTCCCCCGCCTGGCTCATGCCGTTTCCTCCTTGGGGCCTCTTGTTTGTACAGGCGGCTGCAAACGTTTCCTCCTCCTGGCGCCACGGAACAACACGGCTCTAGGGGGGGAGCATCCTGGAGCATCCGCATCCATGACCCACCCCGAGCCCATAAACCACCACGAACTAAAGCATCAGATCTGCACACACCCCCCCAAAAAAAAAGGAAAGAAAAGCAGCAGAGCTCCCCTGCACCTTCTCCTTCTGGCTTTTAACCCAAGAGCACAGCAGGGCCACCAGCCTTGTGCTATGTAATATAAATCAGGTTTCCTGGCGCTGCTGGAATAGAGAAATGATAAAACACAGACCTGGTGGTCCCACGGCAGCGGAATCGACAGGCTTTTTCTCTCCAGGCCTGGAACAAGGAAGAGATAAACCACGCTTGCTCCAGAGCACAGGCAAACAACCGCTTATCACCACGTTAGCAGCCTCAAGGCTGTTGCACGGCTGCAGGAAAAGTATTATTCCTCCCCGCTCGCGGTAAAGTTTCTATTTTGGGCCCCTCCGTCACGCAGAGCTGCAGCCTCAATCCATGCTGGGCTGGGAAAGCAGCCAGCCATGCAGCCCCCAGGGACCCCTGCAAAGCCCGTTTCCTCCAACGCTGCCAAACTCACCAGCAAAGGGATAAACTTTGGGTGAACCGGAGGTAGTTTTTTTGTTAGAGCGGCCGATTCCCGTCAGTTCGCCTTGGTTTGGGTGTTTTTGTGTTGTTTATTCACTTTGAGTGGTTTATTTCCTAGGAGATGTCCTCAATGCACCACCCTGCAGCCGGCCCTTTGTGGTGTTGCCATTGCCAGCACAGATTTGCAGGGGGAGTTAAATCAGGGCGGTTGAAACGCATCCACCTGCAGATGCCGAAGGGCATTGGGTGCTGCGAGCCCGGGCTGGCTGTGGCAGGGAGGCAGCTCTGCCCTTGCTGCTGATGGAGAGCCTGTCCTGGAGAGCAGGCATCAGTTTGGGGGTGGTTTGATGCTGTGGAGGGTCCAGCCAGGGATACCAGAGGGTTTGGGGCTGGTGCTGGTGCACTGAGGGATGCTCGCCTGGCTCAGGGGGGAGATAGAATCATAGAATGGTTTGTGTTGGAATGGACCTTAAAGCCCATCCAGCTCCAACCCCTGCCACGGGCAGGGACCCCTTCCACTAGAGCAGCTTGCTCCAAGCTCCTGTGTCCAACCTGGCCTTGAACACTGCCAGGGATGGGGCAGCCACAGCTTCTCTGGGCACCCTGTGCCAGCGCCTCAGCACCCTCACAGGGAAGAGCTCCCTTACACTCAACCTGAACTTCCCCTGTTTCAGTTTAAGCCCATCACCCCTTGTCCTACCACTACAGTCCCTGATGAAGAGTCCCTCTCCAGCACGTTTAAGATACCTAAAGGGCAGCTGCAAAAAGCCAGACTTCGTCCTGGGCTTTCCAAAGACACTTTGAGGGGTTCGGGGTGGAAAATGGGGAATTCTCCATCCTCAGAGGGGCAGAAGAAGCCGCAGCTGATTCGGTCCTGCAGGGTCTGCCAGGTCCTTCTGCCAACACATCTGTGACACTCTCCTCCCTGCACCACGTTTTCCTTGGCCGGAGAGAACAGATCCATTCATTTCATGTCTCTGCTGGTTCCACTTCCCAGATCTCATCAGAGAGCCTTGGTTGCGGAGCTGCTGCCGCGGTGCCCAAATCCAAACACTAAATACAGCAGGAAAAAAGAACGTTTTTGATAATTACATTCTGTAGGACGGTGGGGTCTGTAATTGAGGGTGAAATTACATCCACGGTACATTTCAGAACTGAAAATAGCATAATAAATTAGCTCAGCTTTTTCCTGGTTGACTCAGCTAATCCTTCAGACGCCAACAGACAGATCTGATTGTATCGCCTCTCCTTAGGCTCAGTTAATACGAAGGCCAAGTCGTGGCAGCTGCAGAAGATATATACAGAGCTGCTGCCTGCAATATATAACCTGCCCTTGTTTCTGGATGCATCACAGCTCGGCAGCAGAGCTGAACAGAGGTCGCTCCTGCTCCTGTTTTGATTTATGAATATGGATCGTGTTGGTTAAGCCATTAGGAGTGGTGATGAAGCAATTCAGCGTACATCCTGAGCTGCAGCTTGCCTTATTGGAAGCCCCGCTCTGCAGAACATTCTCTGTGCCTTCCCCCTGCAACGCTGTTCATGCAGGGAAGATTATATTAAGGCTTTGTCTGTAATGCTGTAATTCCACCTTGAGCCCTCTCAGATGTGAAACAACCCAGCCACAGGCAAGGAAAGGGTTGCGAAAGGAGATTTGCACCCATGCAGGGTGGGAGAAGCCAAGATCCCACCCAAAGGGCTTAAAGAAAAGCATTAAATCAGCTCAGACCCCTGCCCTGGCTGTTTGTGGTGCTGCCCCAACGCTTCCCATCCATCCCAAGGGGTTCAGGGGTGCCCTGGGGTAGCTGGGGTGGGAGGACCCATCCCACTCTGTTCCATGGGCAGCGTTCCCATGGGAGCAGCCCTTCCATACCCCCTGGGAGCAAAGCACACGACAGCATAGTTACCATCATGGCCATGTCCTGCTGAGAGGCCGAGCATTGTTCCCCAGGGAAGCCGAAACCGGTTCTATCCCTCTTCTACGGCCTTTATTCCCAGGTCAGCACGTTCCAGCCCCATTCCACAGGGCTTTGTACCCATGTGGAGTAAAGAAACAGGCTGTGCCCGGCAGGCCCCACTGTGCAATTAGAGAAAACAAAGAGGGAGAGGGGAATTGTGTGCATGGGGGGGCCGGGGTATGGCCCCTGCTGCCTGGTTCCCAGCTGCCTGCCTGCTCTCGGCCCTATTTTTCCTCATTGCTGCCCTTATCTGCTTGTTTTGGACAGGAGGAGGCTCCCCCCCCGGCTGGTGATTGCCTCCAGCTGCCCTTGTGTCAGGCACCGTGCAGTAGAAGGCCAATTTGGCACCTTCTCCCTAACAAACCATCACGAGCCAAGATGTGGTCGTGGATGAATCAAACGCGTTATCCATGTGGGAGCCTTTGGGAAGGGTCCCAGCGGAGGCAGGCTTCTCCTCTCTGCAGCAAGCAAGATGCTCAGAAAGGGGCACACATCATCTCCTCTTCTTCCTAGAGTGGCAGAAAATCACATTTTCACATTATTTACCCGAGCATCTCACAGATCTCCTAAATGGAGCGGATCCATCCAGCATCATTTGCCAGCCATCCCCCTCCTCGTTTGTTTTTAATTAGCAGCAACATGCAGGGGGCTGAGCCAGGCAGCCCTAGCACTGCTGATGCAGTGACAGATAACAGGAGCTTGCCTTCTTCCAGCTGGGATTAAGGGATATCAGGCATTTGGCTGCAAATCACCCTCCTAATATGCTGGGAGCAAGGGTGGGATAAATGCAGTGGAGCAGGTAACAAGGTCAGTGCCAGAAGGACACTTGCTCTAGGCCTCAGGTATTACAGTAATGAGGGTTGAGGGACACAGGATCAAATGGAGCTCCATGAGAAGAGCAGCGACTGCAGGCACCGGGGTGAGCTGTGAGACCTGCCCTAGTCCGTGACTAATTTGGGTTCCTGGAGGTGAGGAAAGGGATGAGGAGGTGAGAAAAGCCCCAGGGAGAAGTGAGCCACAGAGAAGAGCATTTGCAAGAGAGGTGAGACCTGAGGGCTGACAGGGAGAGAACTCACACACAGATTTAAAGCAGCTGCATCCTCAATGGCTGCTTTTGAACACAAAACCTTCGCAGTGGCTGAGGTGGCTTTGGCAAGCGACAGACTGAATGTGCTGATGAGAACCGGCTCACCTGGAACGCATGGGGAAGGGTGCATTGGTGGGTGAGCAGGAGAGATGCTCCAGCCTGGCCCCACAGCAGCCCATGGGCCCCAATGGGAGACCCAGCCACGATAGGAACATCGTTGTTGTCACTCTGGCTCCATACAACCTGGACCCTGCTTGCACTGGGGGTTGTTCCAGCAGCCTGGACTGATGGTCAGTGGGACAGAGCAGGCAGCAGGGAAGTAAGCACATCAAACAAGCCACTTATTGGACAAACCAGAGACACAATGGCTGGTGGCCACAGACTCCCACCACTCTCCCTTACCCTTCGCACCAGCATTCTGGTTCATCCCATGCTGTGTTCCCAGAGAGGTCAGTGCCTCTTTAACCAGCTCAGCACTTCCCACTGGATGTTGGTGGGAGAAAGCATCATCCCCATATCCCCCTGGACCAGGCATCCTCCAGGCGTAGAGGTTGGTAAAGCCGAGGTCCACAAGTCCCCCACGGGGCAAAAGTGGAGACCAGTGGCAGAGCACCCTGAGGGTGCTGGGTCCCCCGTGGCGTGCTGGGTCCCTGTGGGTGCCCCCAGTGTCCCCATCGGGGGTTACGGATGCTCCGGGGGTCCCCGGTCCCCTCGGTGCCCGGTCCCGGGTGCGCTGTCCGGAGCGTGCCCGTGCCCAGTCTCTGGGCGCCCCCTGGCGGCCGCGGGGCAGCATAGGCCAGCATGGCTGCAGCGCTTCCTGGAGCCAGGAGGTTGGGATGGGGACCCTGGATTCAAGGGGGGGGGTGATTCCCAAAGTGGGGTTCAATGGGGGCGATGTGACATTAAATCCTGGTCCCAAAAGCGCAGGACAGAACCTCGGTGATCCAGGAGCTGGCAGTGAGAGAGCCAGAGGGTGACAGCTCCAGGGAACAGCAGAAATAGCTCAGGAGTCTTTAATTAGCCACGTAGAGCTTGGTACTAATTAACCTTTTGCACTGGGAAGAGGAGGAAAAAACAAAGCACTGCTGGGAAGCGGGGTGAGCAAAACACACTGCAAATTGCTCATCATCCTCAATGCCTGTGCAGCAGAGAGAGAGGCAAAGAGGAGAGGGCACACCCTGGTTTGGACAGCCAGACATTTCTCCACATGATTTGGAAAGTGGGAATCAGCAGTGCTTGGAGCACAGAGTGAAGTGGGTAAAGTTCCTCCCTCTGCCCCTGGTCCCTGGACTCAGCATGGACTCACAGCCCCCGAGAGTGATGGCATGGATCTGTCCCCTCCATCCCCTCCTGCAGAAGGGAAGGCAGATGCTGCTTCCTTCTCACAGGAAGGAAAGGCCTCAGAGTAAACCAAATGGCTGACAAGCACAGAACAGTGAGAAATTCAACCCTCCCAAGTGGCACTGAACGAAAGCCTTTGTTCCAGCCCATTCCCTAGGGAGCAGGGAGACCAGGCAGTGTGCAAGACAGTGTTTCACACAGCTCAAGGGTGCTGATGCTCTGGATAAGCTTACACAACATCTGGACCAAACACAGCTTGGCTTGCCAGGCCAGTTGGCATGAGAATACAGCCCAGCCCAGCAGTGCTCATCTGAAAAGAGCCAAAAATAAAACCAGCATTGAGCAGAAAGGCAGAAGGATTGCATTGAGCAGGAATGGCAAAATTGATGCCACTTCCGCACCCCATCCTTACCCCAGTGTAAGGTCTCCAGCTGCTGCCAGCAGTTGGGACTCACAGGGAACGGGTTTTCAGCCACACACTTGCAGCACTGAGAATGAACACCTACCTTCCTTCCTTCCTGAGTGGAACCAACAGGCTCTGTGTTAAGGCACCGAAGCCTTGCTTTAGAAACAAGCCAAGTAGCAAGAAGCAGCATCGCCACAAATGGCAGTGGTGGCCTCTTTGGCACAGAAGAGACACAGACCTAAGAGGGGATGAAGATCCAGCTGCAAACACAGCCCCAAACCACCATAGGATGTGCCTATTCACAGCAATCATCTGCCCAAAGAGGGAAAAATCTACCCTTGCATGGCCATAGTTTCTAAGCTAACAACTATGAGACAACCTCCTGCCTGTTGCACAGTTAAAAGCCCATAACTGCCCCTGACACTGAGGACTTCACCCCTAGCAGATGGAAAAAGCAGCTCATCCATCATCGAGCTGGGAGGAACAACCCACCTGCTGAGGAACAGCTCATCCAGATCATGGATATCTCCTTACCCCTTGGCGAGGGGCTGCAGCAAAGGAGGTCTAATGAGGCTTAGCCCCACTCCTCTCCAGGAGGTGTTAGGCTGCCCAGCACTGAACCTTCACATCTCCAAGTTTCCTTGGAAGGAGAGGGGAGGCTGCAAGCCAGCATTCGGGAGGTGCACGTGGTTGGTGTTCAGAAACGCTGCCACTTGAGAAACTACATTTGTGCTCCTCGAAGGCCAAACATATGGTTGGAGTTACTGCGTGTTACACTATTCTCCCTTGCTAAGGCTTGAACGACTGCGTGATTATATATAGAACACTTCACATAAAGGAGTGGGGTCAGATGTGCCTTTAGCACCAGAAAATTAACTCGTGGCATTAGGGGAAAGCGGCGGTGGTAACAAAAACAAACAGGGGGGAAAGGAGGTCACACGTTCATTGCAAACTGCGCTTGAGGAGCTCTAAGCGTGCGCTCTGGCCTTGACTAACTGCCAGCACCAAGGCAGAGCCGTTTCCAGATTAAAAATTCATGTGTAAACTTTGGTAGTTTAATGCCCCACGGCCAAGGTTTGTTCTTAAAAATAGTAATAACCCGCCAAGAAACTTACTGGCAGAGCTGGGCTGCAACGCTCGAAGCACAACATCTGCTCCAGTAAAGACAGGCTCAGGCCATTCGCACAGAGCTGGGGACTCCACCGTGCACCCTGGCACAAGATGAGCAGCTCCTTGGTGGCGGCTGAACTTAACACCACAAAGTCTCCCATTTCAACACAGCCACTCTTTTGGAAAAGCAATGAAAGCAGTTCAGATCTGAGGTGGGTGTGAATTTGAAGGGGTGTGTGGGAAACATGAACAAAGGAGTAAGGAATACAGACAGGTTAGGCAGATTCCATAAAGAAGGGGGCTTACACCATCACACTGTCTCCCCCTCATGTTAGTTTTGTGTCAACTGATCTATTTCAGACCAAACCAAAGGAAGCATGAAGAAAGACCCCCTAAATTCAGGACTACCATGTGCTTCCATGCTTCCTTTTGGAAAGAGAAAGCTACGGCTTGGAAGGCAGAAAGACTTGGTCAAGGCTCAGGTCGTTAGTTCTGCCAGCCCCAGCATCTGCTGTTGGAAGGAGCCAGGTACTACAGGCACTCCTAGGTAGATGCAGGGGGAACAAACATAAATAGGACAAGGGAAGCTGGATTTTGCAGCATGAGGTGTGGGGGTGAGTGCCTCGCATCTTCAGGAAATCAGTTCAACTGCTCATCAATTATCCAAATGAGGGAAAATTAATTCTTACGACGTGGTGGAAGACAGACTGCTGCACGTCAGGAGGCTGGAACTCATCGCCCACTTTCCTTTGGAACAACAGAGGAAGAAGAAGCAAACAGAAGTAAGTTCACAAAACTTTGCTTTTTATTATTTGAAACTGGAAAAGGCTCCTTGGGTAACAATGATCAGGTGTAAAAGTAACACACGCGTTTTGCTCAGCTTTCTGATAGCTGGGATGAAGTAGGCAAAGTGTTGCAAAGTCACATCTAGCTTTTATCCAGCCTGTTCCTCTCAAAACCCACAAACAGAAGGACAAGCAAAACAACTCAGACAGGTGAGCTGTTTAAACTACAGTTACCAAGTTCCACAGGGGTATCCGTGACATGAAACCACGGTGTTTGATGTCAAACAGCCTTTCCGAAAGAAAAGCTCACCTTTTTCCTCTGCACTATGCTCTACATGGAACATGGATCTGATGTTTTACCTTCATTTTTAAGAAGTATAGAGAGTTACATATACACAAAGCCTACAGCAGATGCCCAGATTAATCCACTGGTGTAACCTTGAAGTAGTGAGTACAAAACGCACATGGAAACAGAGATGTAGGATTATTAATCAATCAAAAAAAGTGCAGATTGTTTTAATTAAGCTAATGAACACAGTTGATCTGAGTGCTTTTTCCCCAAAAATTAAAAATACTGCAATCCAAACAAAGAACAGAATCATAATTCAGCACGCACACACACAAAAAAGGTCAGTGGCACTCACAGTTTGGTAACTTATCTTCCACTCCACCTCCTGATCACACCTCTCAAATCTTTCACTGTCCAACTGGTAAGTTACGCTGTGTGCTTGGCCCGCAGGGAAGGCCAGCACATAATCCTTTGGCAGCTGAATGCAACAGAAAATTATTGGCCACGTGAGCAACCAGCTACAAGACAGAGTTAATATATTATCATTTCCTAAACTAGCAAGTTGAGATTATACAACCCAGCTCCACACAACACCCAACACCCCCATTAAGTTCCACTAGTTTAAAATGAATAGGAAGCAATAAAAAGTCACCCTTGTTTAAAAGTAAACATTGAGCCAGCTGCATTTTGTTTTTTTCCTGGTAGCTTACAACTCCAAGAACACCTTCCAACCTGAATTGGCTATATCCCCATTACAAGTTTCCTACCTCACTGCCATCCAACCTCTGCTGTCCCATTCCAGAGCAGCCATGGCAGTACTGCACTGTTCACTGTTAGCAGGAAGCTGACAGCCAAAGTTACAAGTAATTCCGTCCTCTTTCCTTCTCCTCAGTAAAACAAAAAGCCTGATGAGTCCACGTGGACTGCAGTGAGTCTCCTAAAACCCCAACACCCGATCACAGCACTTTTATAGCTATGAAGTCAGGTCCAAGGCAAACAAACAGGCGGGATGAGGATCTTTGATACTTTTGTTTTCCAGCTGGCCAAACCCATGGGTATTGACAACTCAAAAGCACGCTCTAGGAGCACAACACAGCCCAAGAACGTAAGCCAGTCACTTGCATATTGTTTCTCAGCTAGAATGAAACCTAAGGTCTTGCTGTGGCAACTAGGGCAATGCTGCTCTGCAACCTAATTGCTAGCGTTTTAGTCCAAAAGGCTTCTG